GATATAAAGGTAAAGAAAAGACATTTATGTACAGTGTTTTTAATAAAACAGGAAAAAAATTGCTTATACAATATATGAAGTACAATTTTAGCCAGGAGCACTTATATACCTGTGTTGATAATCTTTCTAAATTTACAAAGTTTAATCAATTCAAACACTGTGTCTATTTTTTTGTTCTAAGTCATAATCTGCATTTTTAAATAAATAATATTCAATGAAATTCATCAGACCAAATAATTTCACATTTCTTATTCGATCAATTAATTCATTAATTTTCATTTAATAGTACATTCATCTTTATTTTTTAAAATTTTTAATTACATACATGTATGTAATACGTGTAATTCTGCTTGTATTTTACATTTCTGTATTAAGCTTTTTATACCTCATTACTTTTCCTATTTGAAATATTATTTTTATATATATTCAAAGCACAATTCTATGTATGATTTTCGATTTGATTTTCTGCAATGTATCCATTTTAAGCTCACCTGGCCCATAGGGCAAAGTGAGCTTTTCACTTCACTTGGCATCCATGGCCGTCTTCTTTAACTTTTACAAAAATCTTCTCCACTGAAACTACTAGGCTAAATTTAACCAAACTTGTCCACAATATTATTAAGGTATCTAGTTTAAAAATTTGTCTGATGGCCATAATTATATAAATAGAACATACATGTAGGGGTAAAATACAAGTTTGTCTACTACACCGTATCTTGAAAACCGCTATTAACAGAGAAAATGTGACGGAGGCAGAAATGTTCAAATGATGAGATCTACTTATTGTCAAAACTGTCAGACAACTTTTTATAGGAGTTAACTTTTATAAGCAAATATGATAAACAAGACAAGATCTACAAATTAATCAACATTGTTGAAATCGTGATTTCACTCCTTATTAGAGTTATTGCTCTTAATGACAATTTTTTCCCATTTTCAGTGTTCTGCCTCTTATCTTAAAAACTTTAAAAGATATGTAGACACTTTAAATAGCAAAAATGATTAGTATGACAAGATTTATAAATTAGTAAAATTTTGCCGAAATTGTAAGTAGACCATTTTAATGTGTGATTGCCATTAAATACTCCTTCAACCAAACTCACCCACAATCATCAATGGGGTATCTAGTTTAAAAAATGTGTTCATGATGACCCCACCTGCTGACAAACATGGAGGGTTGAGATCTCACAAAACATGTCTAACCCCGCCGCATTTTTTGTGCCTGTCCCAAGTCAGGAGCCTCTGGCCTTTGTTAGTCTTTTAATTTTAGTTCATTTATGTTTTGGAGTTTAGCGTGACCTCCATTTTCATTGAACTAGTGCACATTTTAGTTTAGGGGCCAGCTGAAGCCCTCCTCAGTGTGCGGGATTTTCTCGCTGTGTTGAAGACCCATTGGTGGCCTTTGGCTGTTTTCTGCTCTTTGGTCGGGTTGTTGTCTCTTTGACACATTCCCCATTTCCATTCTCAATTTTATTGGATAGAGAAAATCTGACATTTGCAAAAATATTTAGAATGATGAGATCTACCTTATAACAGTTGACTTCAAAACTGTCAGACTACTTCTTATAAGAGTTATTGCCCTTAAACAACACATTTTACCAATTTTTTTTTTTCATTTTTGCCTATTATCTCAAAAATTATAATAAATAGAGAGAAATTTCAAGAGAAAAAAAATAATCAGCAATACAAAATCTACAAATAAGTCAGGATGATCGAAATGGTCAGTCGACATCTTATTAAAGTTATTGACCTTCAATGTTTTTGCATTATTTTGTCTATTATCTTGAAAACAATAATAGATAGATAGAAATTTTAAATAGTTGAAATGATAAGCAAGACAACATCTACATATAATTTGCATGGCTGAAATTGTAAGTGGATTCCTTATTGAAGTTATTGCCCTTTAATGACGATATTTCTCATTTTTTTGGCATTTTTGCCTATTATCTATGAAATTATAATAGATAGATAGAAACTTTAAAAAGAAAAAAAGAATCAGTAAGACAACATCTACAAATAGATCAGCTTGACCGAAACCAGTAGTTGATTCCTTATTGAAGTTATTGCCCTTTAATAACAAGTAAAACCTAAAATATCAGTGTTTTTGTGTGTAAATCAATGACATAAGAAGGCACACCACTAATTCTTGGCCCCATTGGTTTCTATGTTAAATCAGGAACATATATATTGACTGTTAGATATACTGTTCCCAGGTTAAATTCTTTGATTTCAAACATTCATAAATATTTTGTCAAGTTGAGATAAAGTGAAAGCCATTTCATGTCAAAGCACTACCCTAACTTGTCTTGTGCTGAAAAATGCCTGTAATTGTATATAAGAGTGTACTGATTCCCAATACAAAGGAAGTATCAAGACAGGTATTTCAGATCTGAGAAACAGGCAGAATATTCCCTCCTTTTTTAAATTTTATGCATTATGTTTTTTTATTATTATGGAAATTTATCAGTCAAAAAGTGTTCTACAATGATCACCAGTCATCCAGCTTTCATTTGATACCTAAATAACAAAAATATTCTTCATATTTTTTAATGTATGCATATGCATAGGAATTGTTTTGTTTTAATATGTTTTACTTTCTGACCAGGCCCAAATTACTGTTGTTGAACCTAACTTGCTATATTGACTTCTTCATTACTTAATTTCATTCTATTATCAATTTCTAGCAAAGAAATACATTCCAAGCACAATTCCAAACACTATTCCACTGAATGTAAGCTCATATTAGACTGGTAGTAACATACATTGTATATGGGTTATGCAAAGAAAACTGCATATGGATATTACCAGTGACCAATATGAGGTTGTTTTCTATTATCATTAGTACTAATTTGTTGATTTTCTGCTAAGAAAACAGTTTTTTTCCTTATATATCAGAGATTGTTCATTAAATAAAAATACTGTAGTCTAAACATAACACATTTTAGACAATTTTGCCCTGCCTTTTGAGAAAGGAACATTTTAGGTATAAAGCATACTTCTATGGTAAAACATGGACAAATGAAAGTTTACATGCTTAAGTTTTTATATTATGATAAGGTCAGTTTAAGGAAAACCATGTGCCCTAATGATATGCCAATGATAATTATTCTATATACAGTTGTTTGAGCATTATTGCATCTGATTTTCATGGAAATTATTTGTCCACTCCACATTGGTCATGGTTAATTGACTTTGAAACTTTTCCATATTTTACTTGTCATGCATGATCTGGTCAATTTATATACTAATATATCAGAGTTATGATGAAGAATGGGTTATAAATTTTTGATGATTATTATAAAGGCATACAGTCTTACTGTCGTTTGTTAGTTTAATCTTGTCATTTATCTTTCATTGTTGAATACAAGTATTGTCGTTTATTTTGAAAACCATTATAGAAAGAGGAAATCTGACAAGCGCAAAAAATTTTCAGAATGTCAGCATCATGATATTTTTTACTTTCAAACAAATTTTTCAGACAACTCCTTATAAGAGGTATAGCCCTTAAATGAAAATGTTTACCATGTTTACCATTTTTTTTAGCCTATTATGCAAATTATAATAGAGATAAAGTTGAAGTAGCAAAAATGATCAATAAGACAAATCTACAAATCAGTGACACCTTATAGGAGTAATTGCCCCTAAACAACTATTTTTATCTCTTTTTTGTTTTTTGTTTTTAATATATAAATAAGGAGATGTGGTATGACTGCCAACGAGACAACTATCCACCAAAGTTCAAATGAAGTGGATGTAAGCAATTATAGGCAACCATACGGCCTTCAAGAATGAGAAAAACCCATACTGTATAGTCTGCTATAAAAAGCCCTGACATGAAAATTATGAAACAATTCAATTGAGAAAACAAAAGGCCTAATTTATAACAAAACAGTTTACGAAAAACAAACATGACAGACATGAACCAACAACAACCACTGAACTACAGGCTCCTGACTTTGGACAGGCAAATAAAGAATATGGCAGGGTTAAACATGTTTGATGGCCCCAATTCTCCCCAAACAGTTGAGTAACAGCACCACACAAGAACAAACTATGCAATACAATAAACCAAAAAAGATATGAGAAACATGAAAAAACGACAACCACTCAATTACAGGCTCCTGATTTGGGACAGACACCTATAAAATGTGGCGGGTTAAACATGTTTGAAGGCTCCAACCCTCCCCTAACCTGGGACAGTGGTGTAACAGTACAACATAAGAACAAACTATAATAATCAGTTGAATTGTCCATTATCTTGAAAAATATAATATATCATGTGCGTAGATAGAGGGAAACCTTTAGAAGCAAAAATGAGGAAGTGTATCAAAACAAATTTGAATGTGTTCTTTCCAATTTATCCTTTTGTATGTTTCCTAACCAAGGTCTGTCATGGTTCTCTCCAGAAACTCTGACTTCCTCCACTAATAAAAACTGGCAGCCACGATATAACCAAGGGTGCTGAAAGTGGCGTTAATCACCAACAATCAATCAATGATCATCCGTCTATTCATATTTAGTAACACAATGGTTGGTTCCATAATTTGTAATTTCTGGTGATGTTATCCCATTTATTTTGATTATAATTATGTGTGTTAAAAATTCTGTTAGCTAAAGTTTGCCTCAACAGTCTTTATGAAACTTTCAAATGTTCTATGAAGCTGCCTTTTGTCAATAAAATTTTTCATATTTGTTATTTCAGAGGTTAGAATTAGACTTAATTTTTGTAAACATGGTAAAGGCAACATTTAAAAGTTTGTATATATGCATCTTGTGATAACTTCAGTTTTCTTAAATAAATCTTTGGGAATTATTACATGTATCTTATTAACACTTTCAGTGTTGAAAATTTTCAGATTTGTGTTTACATGGTGAGAGAATATGACATTGTAACAATAAATTAACAGGGGTAAACATTTCCCTAATGAGACAGATTTTAGGAAATGAATAATTTATTTTACCTCTATTCAAAATGTAATGAACTGTTGTTTATATTTCAGAAGGAAAATTAATGCCATATAATAGAGTAAAAACTTTCAAGTGCATCACCAATATTTGTGTTAATTTTAAACTGAAAATAGCTAGACAAAATGGAGGCAGACTTGGTGGATGTCAAACAATTGTTTTCAAATATGATGAAGAGAGTACAACCATGGATTCTCTCTCATTTCATTATGTGGTTAGACCTTAAAATAGCAGAATACAAAGTTTTAGGCTATATGGTTCTTGGTAAGTTTTCAATTTTAACAGATGTCAAATTTGTCTTTTGTGGGAAATTTTTCAGGGAAAAAGAATTAAGTTATGTTTCTTATCAATATAGTACGATTGTTTCTTATCAATATTGTATGATTGTTTCTTATCAATATTGTATGATTGTTTCTTATCAATATTGTACGATTGTTTCTTATCAATATTGTACGATTGTTTCTTATCAATATTGTACGATTGTTTCTTATCAATATTGTACGATTGTTTCTTATCAATATTGTACGATTGCGTTGAATTTTCAGAGTAAATAGCTAAAACTGCACCACGATGAACCTGTAAAAAATGCCTCTGAATATCAGTAAACTGTATATATATAGATACAAGCTTTATATGAGCTTTGTGATGATTTCATGTATACATGTATATACAAGAAGACACAATTCTGTTGCTAACTACATTGTTACTCAGCATATAGTGTTCAAAATTCAAATAATAGTTGTCTTAGATTGTTTACATACTGATCTATCGCTGCTGTTGGATATTAATCTGTTGTGTTAAAAATTTATCTCTTATTATAATATTTACATGTACCAGTAGTTAGACATTTTTTAGCTTTTCTCGTCACTTGGTGTCAATGCAATTTTTGGCTTATATCTCAAAAACCAAAGCATTTAGAGCAAATCTGACTTGGGGGTTAAAGTGTTCATTAGGTGAAGTTCTATCAGCCCTGAAATTTTCAGTTGAATCTGATAACCCTTGTTGGGTTGCTGCCACTAAATTGGTAATTTTAAGGAAATTTTGCAGATTTTGGTTATTACCTTGAATATTATTAATGATAAAGATAAACTGTAAACAGCAAAAATGTTCAGCAAAGTAAGATCTACAAATAAGTTCGATGACCAAAATTGTCAATTGTCTCCTTAAGGAGTTATTGCCCTTTAAAATCAATTTTTCACAATTTGTTCATTTAGTTTGCTTACTTTAAAAAATCTTCTCCTTTGAAACTGCTGAATCAATTTCAGCCAAACTTGGGCTGAATGAGTTTCAGAGTATCTAGTATAAATTTTGTATTTTATTTTCTTGTACGTCAAGAAACATAGCCACTATGGCTAAGATGAAACATAGGGGTAAAATGCATTTCTTTGATTTTGAAGAATATATGACAGATACAAAGAACATTTCAATGGAAGTTTTAAGCCAGTCATTAATATATATTGAAAAGCAAAAATAATCATTGATGAAAGATTTAAGCAAAAATTTACAGGTGAGCGATTCAGGCTCTTGAGAGCCTCTTGTTGTTTTGCCTATTATTAGGAAACTATACTAGATGGACTCTTGAGAGCCTCTTGTTTTTTTGCCTATTATTAGGAAACTATACAAGATGGAGAGAAACTTTAATCAGGAAAAATTATCAGCAAGACAAAATTTATAAATGAGTCAAATGCCATAGCTGAAATCATCAGAAGACTCTTTATTTAGGTATTGCTCTTTAACAAAGATTTTTACTACTATCTTTTTTGCATTTTTGCCTACTATCTTGAAAATTATAATAGATATATATATATATATATATAGAAACTTTTAATATAAAAAATGATCAGCAAGACAAGATCTACAAGTAAGCCATCGTGTTTTAAATCTTAAGTCAACTCGATAATGGAGTTATAGTCCTTTAAAGATGTTTTTTTCCCATTTTTTTAGTTTTTACCTATTATCTTGAAAAGTATAATAGATACAAATGTAGATAGAAAATTTTAAAGGCAAAATGATCAGCAAGACAAGATCTACAAATACAACAACATGGCTGAAATTGTCAGTTAACTCTTTGAAGAGTTATTGCCCTTTCATGATGATTTTTTCCAAAAAGTGGCCATTGTTGGTGCAGATGAGCGACACAGGCTCTTTAGGGCCTCTAGTTTTTATTTTTGCCTGTTATTCTGAAACCTATAAAAGATAGAGAAACTTTAAAAAAGCAATAATGATCAGCAACAAGACCAGATCTACAAATGAGTCAACAAATTTTGTCGAAATAATTTGTAGACTCTTTGTAGAAGTTATTGTCCTTAAACTATGATTTTATTTTACCTCTTTTTGTGTTTTGGGCAAAAACTAAAGGAGATAGGGAGAAGAATATACAGAAAAAATTATCAGCAATACAAAATCAACAAAAAAGATGTTTTTGTAATGTATTCAATTCTAGTTCATAATGTTGGAGATATTCCATTGTTAAAGATGCACATAGATCTAGGTGAGCAACACAGGCTCTTTAGAGCCTCTAGTATTTTTTTTTTGTTCATTGTTTTGTACATAAATCAGGCCATTAGTTTTTTTGTTTGAATTGTTTTACATATATTATTTTGGGTCTTTTATAGATAACTATGCAGTATGGGTTTTGCTCATTGTTGAAGGACTTATGGTGACCTACAGCTGCTAACTTCTACATCATTTGGTCTCTGGTAGAGAGTTGTCACATTTGCAATTATACCACATCTTATTTTTGAATTTTTCATACAATATAGCATGTTTAGTATTAGCTATGAAAGGCTTTTGAGGAAAAATTGTCCAACAATACAACAGAGAAAATTGTGGTGGACTTAAAGATGTTTGTCAGAACTCAAGTGAAATAAGTCTCAATACAAATTGATAAAGTTTTCCTTTTGTATTTCCGGTCAAAATTAAATTCTGGAGTTCTCATTTTCTTAATTCAGGAAATTACAGTTAGTTTAATGAATGATATAGATATAAGAAGATGTGGTATCATATGAGTGCCAATGAGACAACTCTCCATCAAGATATCTAGACTTTAACTAAAATTGATTGAGAATGAAGCATTTAATGTGAAGTTAATGTTAAAACAGTGTAATATGTTATTATATTGTTTATTTCAGATAAGAGATCAGCTTATGATAAAAATCATGCAACATTGTACAATCAAACAAGTCGAACCAATACTTCATCTCCAGCTTCAGCATCTTCAAGTGAACATATGTATATCATACCAACACAGGAGAAATGTATCAAACAGAACGGATCACCAAATATAACAAACGATAATACAGAGTATGAAAATTTTATAGAAGGTTCTAATAAACAGGAGAGTCTCAATACCTCTGGGGCTTTTGTATCAGAAAGAACAAACATTGCATTGAAATGTGTAAAGCTGAAAAGTCAGAATAAAGAGATGGATAGACAAACATCTGTTTCTGGGCGTCAAGAGAGTTGTCAAAGTAAATCAAATGAAAAGGGAATTCAGAACCAACGAAAACAGCGAAAGCCAGGCAATTTCTTACACAGTATTGTAAATAATTTAAAGCAGAGCTGCATTAAAAATCCACTTGTGGGATACTCAGGACCAACTGTTTGCCAAATAAAGAACCTGGAGAATGAAATACCTGAGAGAGAAGTTCAACCTGACTATGCCCATACTAGATACCATTCAGATAAAACAAAAGATGCAGAAGCTTTCATTGGAAAAAGTGAAAATAATCGTATCAACATTCAGAACAGCCTAGAGATAACAAGTTCGACAAAACAGAAATTACAACCTGAAGATTTACAAGATGATATGGTCATACCAGTTGGGACAACAACTAAAACAGAAATTTCTGCTTCCCAAGAATCAGCTGTATTTGATGAGGATAATACACCTTTATATAAGAGCCAACAGTTTAGTTCATTAATTTCCCTTTCAAGGTCACGTGGAAGAAGACGAAGGTCATCAAATGATGAAATTACCTATCCCTTAATTTCTACCAAAGATAATGAAATTTCACAAACTTATGAAGAGGAACCAAGATCTCAAAGCCTTGCTGATTTTTATTTTTCTCAAAATCAACTAGATGAACAATTCGCTGTAAGAAGAGCTAAACAAAATGTCTGTAGAGTGACAGCAAAAAATCATGACGAGAAAGACGACCTAATGAGGAACAATCTATCTGAGCCAAATCACCAGGATATAACAGTAAAACAGGAAGTAGAGCCATTATTCAGAAATGAAAATAAAAGTCCAAGAAATCATGAAATTATAGGAGAGAAATCATCAGAGCCAACTGAAAGTTTAGTTCCTCATCAGTTTTATGATAATTATAATCACAGCAGTATGTCTACAACTGATGATGGAGTTATGGTTCACAAAAATAGCAGAGCAGCAGTTGTTGTTAAGTCAGAGCCAAACAATGATGAGGAATATTGTTGTTCTTCTACAACAGGAAATTATGACAATCACAGTTTCAGTTCAGAAGGGGACACTTCCAGTAACCATGACATTTCAACACATTATGAATACCATGGAGATGATATGGCAGACGATTCTTATATGCTCAGTAATTCTGAGTTATATGGAGAAGATAATGTTGATTTGCTACAAGGGATTGCAGGTATGGTGTAACAGATATTGTACATTTATGAAAATACTTGATATTCAAAGTGTCTTGTTTATACTTGTAGTTTGTATTCATTCCTTGTTTTATACGCCTTCATAGACGATACTTTACTTATAATGTTATACTATTGTTAGTCTGTTATTTTGTCCAATGGTTCGTTCACAAGTTAAACAAAAACTATAGAATGCAACTTGTATGGAATATTCAATGTGAAAGTAAATTAGTTGGAATTGGAATTCCGAATTAAAGAAAACAAGACAATCGTTTTTGGTTTTTCGAATGACAGTGGAAGAAAGCTAGGTATTTTTCGATTTTTGGATATGAATTAAGGAGATATGGTATAATTGTCAATAAATCAACTATCCAATAGATTTCAAATGAAGTAGAAGCAAGAAACTATAGGCCACCCTACAACCTTCAACAAATGGCAAAACACCTGCTATATAGTCAGCTATAAAAGACACTGGCATGACAAAATGTAAAGCAATTCAAACCAAAAATGAAAATGTATGAGAAAACAATAAACGAAAAACAAATATATTAGACAACCATCGACAACCACTGACTTAGACTCCCAACTTGGGACAGGCACATATAGGGTTATCTGACCTTGACCTCATTAACATTGATCATTGATAATGATAATTTTGTGTAAAACTTGTTGTATGGCCTTTTTCTCGAAGACTATCAACATTAATTCAATCATGATCATTTTGGAGTTATTGCCCTTAAAATGTAAATTTTTAGAAAAATTCAGTTTTTGGCTTAAATCTAAAAATTTAAAAGAGTAAGAGCAAAACTGGAATGGATAGAAAGGAATAACAGGTCTGTCTTCCATTAAATTTTCTCAAAAATCCAACAACCCATTTTTGAGTTTGCTCCTTAAATGTCAATTTTCCCAAATTTCAAAGATTTTGGTGATTATCTTGAAAACTGCAATCGATGGAGAAAAATATTAAATAGCAAAAATGACAAAACCACAAGATTCACAAAAAGGCAACTGAACAAAGATTGTTAATTGAACCCTTATAGGAGTTATTGCCTTTTGAATGATGATTTTTACCCTTTTTTGCAGAAACTATAGATAAAGTGAATCTTACAATAGTAACATTTTTAGGTAAAAATAAGATCTACAAATAAGTTAACATGGACGAAATTGTTAATTGACCCCATATAGGAGTTATTACCTTTTAAAAAACAACATTTTTTTTGGTTCATTTTAAGCGTTTTTCAGAAACTATCAAAGATAGACAGTGCCAGTAAATAGCAAAAATGTTCAGCACAATATGATCTGCAAAAGTGTCAACTGACACCTTATAGAACTTATTTCCCCTGTTGGTGATTTTTTTGCATTTTTGTCAAAAACTATAGTTAATACAGAGAAAGTTTAAAAACAAAAATATCCGCAAAATAAGATATACAAGTAAGTTAAAATGTCCAAATTGTCGGACCCCTAGGATTTGATGATAATATTATTATTATATGAAGTTTTATATCCACCCTCCAAAGGAGGGGGTGTACTGTTTTACCTCTGTCTGTCCCTTGAAATTCTATTGCTATGTTCTTAGGAACTACAGATCAGAGCTACCTGAAATGTGTTATCAGTCTTCATGTGAACAAGCTACACCGTGAAAGCAGTTTTAGATTCATCCATCTTCAACTTCATGTTTTCCAAATACTAATATATTCTAACATATGATGACCATGCATGGAATTCATAACCTCAGTGTTGACAGGCTAGTGATGCAATAGTTGAAATACTTAGACCACTGGGCCACTGAGACCCAATTTATTAATGAAACTCTTCAAACTTGAAATAGACTAAAAAGCAAATAATTTGCACTAAGGGAAATACAAAAATATTTTTTAAAAATGTGAAATTTCTCTCATTTTAGGAATGGACCAGCATGAAAGTAAGATAATGAGGCCAAGAAGTAACAAGAAAAGACAGTTACACTGTTTGTCAAATCAAGTCCCTCGAGACCCTTCATCAGGAAAGTTTGTTTGTGAACTCTGTGGTGGAACATTTACCAACAGATCATCCTACTTCAGGCACAAGAGAATCCATGGAGAAAAAAAATTCCGTTGTTTTCTTTGTGATAAAGCCTTTCATAGGAAAGAACACCTTCAATCACATATTCATAGACATACTAAATCGTTTCCATTAAAGTGCTGCAAGTGTAGTTTTGAATCCCACAGCCTGGACGAAGCAACTGCTCACTTTCAAGTTAGCCACAGTCATCATGTACAAGAATCAAAATCCTGAATTTGTAATTAACAAAATAATATTCTTGCAAAATAGTGTAAAAATATAAGACTTGTCTATTTTTTAGACCGCATATTGACCTCTAGATATATTTTATATTTACTAGATAGTACCCCGTGCAATATATGGTATATACTTTTTTAGTACCCAGTGCAATATATGATATATACTTTTAAATTTTTACAATTATGTTGTATTGATTGATGAGATAATGTCTTATATGTACTACTTCAATTGCTCTTTTTCCGCAAGTCTGTTTAATGAAATTATGCAGAAAAACCAAATAACCCTTTCTATACAGATTTCCTGCTAAATAATCTCAACATTTATCTCAATGATCCAAAGTTAGATCATGATTGAAGAAAAAGAATAACATTTGAGTCCACACAGAATATTAGAATAGTCTACTGTTTACAGAATTCTACATACAAAACTGCATACCAAATGCTTCTATAAAAAGACGAAGAAAATTTATGCCTGTAAGAAGAGATTTCAAATGTGCTTACCAAGATTACTACAGTTTGAGCAAGGGAAAGCGAGAGTACAGCGTTAAAATTTACAGATGGTAATCATGATAGAGCAATGTTACGTAACAGTACCCTTGAAAAAAAATTGGGAGTCAATAGGGGGACTGTTGCAAGAATGTCTGCCCGTCTGACATGCTTTTTCCCAGTTGTAGTCAAATTCTTGTTTTCATCCTAGTCAAAGAACTCTGCTGAACCTCTCAATTAGATTATTGTTAATTTGTTCTCTTCCTAAATATGCATGCAACATTTATCACTTGATGTTAGGCAAACTACAAACAATCAATCAAACCGGAATCAAATTGGACTATTTTGCAAAGTGGTTTGCCATTTACCTGATTAAATATTTGCTTTAAATACACGTTTTTGAGACGCATTAGTGCATGGACTCCCAAGGCCTCAAATCGTTTACTTCACCAAAAATAAGGGTCATGCTACACCACTGAAGTATAACAATTAGTTTCTTTATCCCAAACGGAAGTGACCCTAAGAAATGGTGAAAATAACATACATGTAACAGTCCAGAATATGTTTACATCTTACCTAGAGGTCACAACCATTTGGACTATTTCCAAGTGATGTCATGGGCTTTAAATGATAGCAAAATCTTTTAAATCTTGTTTTTATCAGTTTTAAAAGGGCATTACAAAAAAATCACTCAATATACAGGTAAAATTATGATTTATATTTTTTTAATTTACACCATGAAATCAAATAGACCTAGAAAAATTGTTGTTGTACCATTGCATGTGCTTGTCTGTCTATATTTATGTTTATATTGGGCAGTATTACTGTCACCAGTCTTCAGAGGTCATCCCAATGGTTAATTAGATGGTGGCAATTTGAAAATATGCACAAAATGCTGATACATTAAAACAAGTTTATAAATTGTTTCTTTTAAATTTTTTGTAATTTGGATATATATTCACTTTTATAGCTTGTTATAAATCAAATGTGAGAATTTAAGTGAAATAGATGATAATGAATTTGACAGCTAAAATTCATGCTTTTCTATGATTGTTTAAGTCGTCTTTACACTCACTCCCTTGGATGTGTACAGATTCTTTAGTCTGGGAGTTTCATGGTGCTCCAGTAGGGTATCACCCTTAGGTCACAAGGTCAAGTTAAAAAATGCCTCTGGTCACCTGGTAATTTTTAAGCAAGGAAAACATTTGAAGGGGCATTAGCTACGAGATATATATGTTAAGCTATTAAAAGGAAAAGAATGTCAACATTGAAAGTGAAACGAGGGTAAACCATTTGGTTGACTGATTCGATCCACAAAAATTAATTCTTATACAGGTAAAAACAATGATTAACATATTATTTCAACCTATAATATGAAATCAAACAGACCTAGAAAAATCCAATTGCACGTGTTCCCTATCTATTTATATCTATATTTATTTACATCGGGTTATATGATCGTTGGCAGTCTTTTCAGATGTCACCTAGATGGCAAATTAGATGGTGTCTAGACTAAAATACACAGGAAATGTGGATACATATTATTGAGTCCATGCATTGTAAATTGTTTATTTTAGACATAATTTGGATATATGTTTGAGTATGTTATAAATCAAATATGAGAATTTGAGTCAAATCGGTGAACATGAATTTGACAGCTAATGCCCCTTTCAATAAAATGGTTTTGAACATTTCTAAAAAGATCACAGCTCCTTTTAAATAAAATGTCGCAGTTAGGATTTGACTTTGTTGAAGCCGTATTTATACATGTATATTAGTTGTTATTGGCTTTGAACTAGCTTTCAGTAACTACAAGTTTCTCAGATCAATACTTTGAGTCGTTTGACTTCATGTTAAGTTATTTTTTGTGGTTCTTGTCGATCTGATGAGTCATTATATTGTCCAACTGATTTTTATACGACCGCAAAAAATTTTTGTAGTCGTATATTGGTATGACGTTGGCGTCGTCGTCGTCCGGCGGCGTCGTCGTCTGGCGTCGTCCGGCGTCGTCCGAAGACACATTGGTTTTCGCACTCTAACTTTAGTTTAAGTGAATGGATCTTTATGAAATTTTACCACAAGGTTCAATACCACAAAAGGAAGGTTGGGATTGATTTTGGGGGTTATGGTAATAACAGTAAAGGAATTAACTTGTAGGAATGCTGGGATTGATTTTGGGGGTAATTGCCTCCAAATTTTAGGAATTAGGGGCCAAAAAAGGGGCAAAAAACAAGCATTTTTCTAGTTTCATGACAATAACTTGTGTGTAAGTGTATGGATCTTTCTGAAATTGTACTATAAGGTTCCATATCACAAAGGGAAAGCTGGGTTTGAGTTTGGGGGTAATTGCCCTAAACGTTTAGGAATTTGGGGCCAAAAAGGGGCCAAAAAACACATTTTTTTCTAGTTTCCAGACAATAACTTGTGTTCAAGTGTATGGATCTCTCTGAAATTGTACTGCAAGGTACCATACTACAAAGGGAAGGCTGGGATTGAGTTTGGGGGTGATGAATCATAATGGGGGTTCAAAAAATTTTGGGGGGGATTTATTTTTTTTTCCTTTTTTTTCTTTTTTTCCTTTTTTGTTTCTTTTAAAATTTTCCATTTTAAGTTGGTTATTTCTGATTTATATTTAAAATCAAATAATAATGATATGGTAGGAGATACACACCAAACAGGATGTGTAAATTATTATATAATAAGTATTGTGCAATAGCAAGAAATTTTCAATTGCACAGTATTGCACAATAGCAAGAAATCTTCAATTGCACAGTATTGCGCAATAGCAAGAAATCTTCAATTGCACAGTATTGCGCAATAGCAAGAAATATCCAATAGCACAATATTGCGCAATAGCAAGAAATTGTCAATTGTACAGTATTGCGCAATAGCAAGAAATATTTAATAGCACAGGATTGTGCAAAAGAAGATACTTCCTATAAATTGCTTATTTCTTGACCAATTTCAATGGGGTGTTATTCTTGATTTCATGGGGTTCTTTAATATGCTGAATCTAACCGTGTATTTAGTTTTTGGATTTTGGGCCCCGTTTTTAAATTGGTCCACATTGAGGTCCAAAGGGTCCAAAATTAAACTTTGTTTGATTTCATCAAAAATTGAATTATTGGGGTTCTTTGATATGCCGAATCGAACTGTGTATTTAGATTCTTAAATTTTGGTTCCGCTTTCAAATTGGTCTACATTAAGGTCCAAAGGGTCCAAAATTAAACTTAGTTTGATTTTAACAAAAATTGAATTCTTAGGGTTCTTTGATATGCTGAATCTAAACATGTATTTAGATTTTTGATTATGGGCCCAGTTTTCAAGTTGGTCCAAATCGGGGTCCAAAATTAAACTTTGTTTGATTTCAACAAAAATTGAATATATGGGGTTCTTTGATATGCTGAATCTAACCATGAATTTAGATTTTTGATTTTTGGGCCCCGTTATCAACTTTGTCCACATTGAGGTCAAAAGGGTCCAAAATTAAACTTTGTTTGATTTCATCAAAAATTGAATTATTGGGGTTCTTTGATATGCCGAATCTAACCGTGTATTTAGATTCTTAATTTTTGGTTCCGTTTTCAAATTGGTCTACATTAAGGTCCAAAGGGTCCAAAATTAAACTTAGTTTGATTTTAACAAAAATTGAATTCTTAGGGTTCTTTGATATGCTGAATCTAAACATGTATTTAGATTTTTGATTATGGGCCCAGTTTTCAAGTTGGTCCAAATCGGGGTCCAAAATTAAACTTTGTTTGATTTCAACAAAAATTGAATATATGGGGTTCTTTGATATGCTGAATCTAACCATGAATTTAGATTTTTCATTTTTGGGCCCCGTTATCAACTTTGTCCACATTGAGGTCAAAAGGGTCCAAAATTAAACTTTGTTTGATTTCATCAAAAATTGAATTCTTGGGGTTCTTTGATATGCTGAATCTAACCATGTATTTAGATTTTGGATATTGGACCATAATAGGTGAATGTCCAATTTAAAATTTTTAAGTTCTTAGACCACATTCAATCTGTGTTAGAAACCTATGCTGTGTCAAATATTTAATCACAATCCAAATCCAAAGCTGTATCAAGCTTGAATGTTGTGTCCATACTTCCCCCAACTGTTCAGGGTTCAACCTCTGCGGTCGTATCAAGCTGCGCCCTGCGGAGCATTTTATTACAGTTTGTTCTTGTTTTGTGCAGTTACACCACATTCCAAGGTTACAGGAGAGTTGAGCGCTCACACATGTTTAACCACCACATTCTAAATGTGCCAGTCCCATGTCATGAGATTGTAATTCAGTTGTTGTCATTGGTTTCTGCATGTCATATTTTGGTTTTATTATTTTGTCATAAATAAGGTGGTTGTAATTTTCGCTGGATTTGTTTTAAATTTGGTCATATTGGAAGCCTTTTATAGCAGATTATACAATATGGATTTTGCTCTTTGTTGAAGGCCTTACAGTGTTTTTTGTTTGTCTAAATTCAAGTCATTTGGACTCGGTGGATATTTGTCTCATTGGAAATTATTCCACATACCCCGGTATCCTTTTTTTAAATTGGTAAACCATATTTTTTATGGCTCAAAAGATTTTGTTCCGAAACTGAAATGTTGACCATCTAAATGCCATTCATCATATCTTTAATACTGGAGTAAGCAAATTGTTGGTGAGGATGCCTGACATTTGGCGACTTGTTTTTGCAGCTATGGCAATAAAGTACAATCTCTAAACTATGAATGAAAACATAGACATGTTCACTGCAATGAATTTATATGTTTTTAAACATGATAGTTCTGTTATAAAATAGTAAATTGACAATAATAGATTATACTCTGGGCTATCACACATAAACTGTTTGTCACTGAATTGTCATTCCACTGGATATCAAAGCCAATTTCTGATTCATTAATCTCATGCTTTCTCTGTAAAAGAAAAAGAAATAAATTATTTTCCAAAGATTGCAGAATATATTTAAAATTTTCATAAATCCCTTCAAGCTTCAGAGAGCATGTCATTTAACCGTTAGTGCAAGCAATTAAAAAAAAAAAAATCAATTTCCTATAAAAAATATTTACAAGAAGCATGTTTTTTCGAATACTTTTTTAGTAGTAAAAATAATGTTAATGATGATATACTACAGCTTATATAAAGCTGTGGATGCACAGGTTCCTGATATGGGTGTCCAGGACACATGTACATACCTTAAGGAGAACCCTGCATGTTAAACAAGAATTTAGAGGTATATATATATAATTATCTCGCCTTGACAGAGTCAAAAAGTGAGACCTAGGAATGCTGTTTCTGGTAGTGACAACAATTTGTTAAAGTTTGTGATAAGGTCAGTTTAAGGGGAACCAATAATGATAAAACAATCATATTTGGTATGCAGTTGTATTAGCATTGGCATACCTCATTTCCATGGAGATTATTAGGCCCTGCCACCTCAGTAATGATCTGCTGACTCTGATTTTTTTTTTTTTTTTTGCATACTGTATATTCAGAAATTATTGCGTGCATTTATTATTGCGATTTTTGAAGCATGGGCTAAAATGCAAGGTTAATTATTGCAATTTCAGGAAAATCTACATACAGATATAAGTATCAGATATCGAAATACGAGTTCTTATTATTGCGATCTTTATCCACTTGCATTATTCGCATTAATAAAAACCTCGCAATAATTTCTGAAATTACAGTAGTTTACATTTTGAAGTTAGTGAATAGGTCAGTTTAAGGGGAACATCGGAAATAAACACATTAATTCTAAAACCAGTTATTGGCATGATGCGGGTTATGTTCTTCTCATATTTTTTATGATGGTATGATACTAAACCCCTTACGGGAGGGATTGTACTTGATTTTCATATGATGAAGACATAATCTTTCAATCAGTTTAATTGAGGTCTGGAGCTGGCATGTCAGTAACTGCTAGTAGTCCTCTGTTCATTTATGTATCATTGTCATTTTGCTTAGTTTCTTTTGTTACCTATTCTGACATCAGACTCGGACTTCTTTTGAACTGAGTTTTACTGTGCGTATTGCTATGTGTTTCTTTATTCTACATTGGCTAGAGGTATAGGGGGAGAGTTGATATCTCACAAAACATGTTTAACCCAGCCGCATTTTTGCACCTGTCCCAAGTCGGGAGCCTCTGGCCTTTGTTAGTCTTGTATGTTTTTTTAATTTAAGTTCATTCATATGTTTTGTAGTTTAGTGTGACGTCCATTTTCAATGAACTAGTACACAATTTTATTTAGGGGCCAGCTGAGGACATTCTCGCTGCGTTGAAGACCCATCGGTGGCCTTCGGCTGTTGTCTGCTCTTTGGTCGGGTTGTTGTCTCTTTGACATATTCCCCATTTCCATTCTCAATTTTACAGTTTAAGGGGAACCACTTATGATAGTCAATTATATTTAATATGCAGTTGTATAAGCACTGGTAACCTTATGCAGCTATGTAAGTACATGTATATGCACATCTCATTTCAATGGATATTAGTTGGCCCTGCCCCCTCAGTCGTGATCTGTTGACTTTTGAATCTTTTGCATAGTTTACATGTGGAAGTTTGTGAATAGGTTAGTTTAAGGGGAATCACTCATAGTAAGTCTGATATTTAATATGCAGTTGTAGAAGCTTTGGTAACCTTTTGCAGTTATATAACTACATGTATTGACAAATCTCATTTCAATGGATATTAGTTGGCCCTACCCCCTCAGTCATGGTCTATTGACTTTAAAACTTTAGCATATTTAACATGTTAAAGTTTGTGATAAGGTCAGTTAAAGAACCACCACTTATGATACATCAATAATATTTGGTATGAGGTTGTATTAGTATTGACATATCTTATTTCCATGGAAATTATTTGTCCATGTACCATCAGTCATAATTCATCATTGACTTTGATGCCAGTGCTGGTGGACATTTCACCTGCCCTTTTACCCCATTTTTATGATTGACATGAAATATCATGGAATATCATTGATATGTTAATTTTTTGTAAATTTACTGTTCATAAAATGAATTATTTGAAACACTAAAGTTTTTCTACCCCCATGGATGGATTACCTTAGTAGTATGTGGCACAACTTTTCAAAATTTTATGATTTTTACAGGTCTACACTTCATATTTGATTGGCCTGCCAACTGTTTTAATTCAAGCGCCACTGGTTAGTCTGATGTACTTGAAATGAGTGTCTGGCGTACAACAATAATAAACCTGGTATCTTTGATGAGTTTTTTTTCTTAACTGTATCTGTTATATCCTTTATTTCAAGTTGGATAGGATAGATATGTTCAACATTGTCACCAAATTTTGAATTATAAGTGAGAGGACATCATTTATATAGCAGAACAATATTAAGTTAAAGCATAATGCTAGCTTCTTTTCACTCTTCCCAAGAAACTCCTGCATGAAGTCTGTCTCATGTTAATAAAAGAAGAGGAGCACAGTTGGTTCCCATTGGAATGAGGATTGTTTGTTAAAAAACGCATCCTTCAAACATAACATAATGTTGTCAATAATGAAATTAAGCATAACTTTATAAAGTTTGTTTCAGAGAATTATTTTTTTTTTATCTGAGTTTTTTTCTTCACAAAGTATAATTTAAAAAAAACCTAACTAAAATAAGATATTTGTTCTATGTTCTTTTTTTATGAAACAAAGTAAGGCCAATTCTTTCAATTTGTTAAGTTTGGAATGGGGAATTGCTGTGACAGTCTTTGTCTTAGCTATTGCGTTATTTACTACAGAAGTACAGGTAGTCTGATAAACTTTTATAATTTGGGTGCTGGTCACTTAAGTAAAATAGCAGTGGTGGACATGAGTTGTTGTCTCGGCTGTAGTCCAAGTAGTCTTGAGAGACGTTTGCACCTTCAGTGCTGTACACAGGTGAGGTGGTAGCATTGTCTTGACAGTCATTGTGTAAGCTGATGTCTGAGAGACGCTTGAAGCTTCAGTGCTGGACACAGTATGTAGTGCAATTAGTCTATGAGATAGTTGTATCTTTAATGATGATCCCTGGAGAGGTGGTGGGGGCGGCCATGAATTTTGTTGTCTCAGCTATAGTGCCTGCAGTCTGCTTGTGACTGAGGAGGTAGTGGCAGTGGCCATGATGGTCAATCATCTCTGGTGTAGTGTCAGCAGTCTGATGGACATTTGTATCCTCAGTGTTGAACACTGAAGTGCCAGTAGTCTGAGAGAGACAGTTGTACCTTCGGTGCTGGACACTGTAGTGTCAGCAAGAGCAGTCTACATGATAAACTTTCGCAGCCACAGGCCTGATGCTCATTTTTTGGAAAATTTTGTAGATTCTATGGGCCTGCAGTAGAAATTTCAGCAGGACCGACAGTGATTTTACAAACCTGAGCTAGTGGGCCTGTGTCTAAGTGTGAAGACTACAAGAGGCGGTTGTACCTTCTGTTGTGGTCGTTAGAAAGTGGGGGCAGTGGCTGTGACTGTTTGTTGTCCCAGCTATAGTGTCAGTAGTTGGAGAGATGGTTGCACCTTTTGTGCTGACCACAAGCTTAGCGGTGCTACAGTCATTGTATAAGCTGAAGTGTCAGTTGTATCTTCTGTGCTGGACACTGCATTGCCAGGGGATTGAGAGAAGATTGAACATTCGGTCCTGGTTACTTTACAAGTTGATGATGGCGGCTGTGAAAGCTGTTTCATCTGAAATACTTGTAGTCTGAGAGTTGTACCATGGCACAGGACACTGTAATGTCAGTAGTCTTAAAAAAAACGGGTGTACCTTAGGTGCTGGTCACTGGCAGGGTGATTCCAGCTGCTATGACAGTCATTATGTCAGTTGTAGTGCTAGTTGTCTGAGAGACAGTGGTACCATTAGTACTAAGATCAGGTGAAATGGCTGATCAGTGGAAAAGATCCTTCGAAAAATGATGGATGCCAATTGATAGGAAAAGTTTACACTTGCCATTAGCCAAGCAAAACAAATAATGTAAATGAAATAGTGCCTATGGAATATATATTTTCTTAGATACTAACTGTTCAGCAACTCCTTCAAGCTGTTCCAGGTCTTTTCTTTTCAGCTTCTCCAATTCCCTGTGTATAGATTCCCAACAGTCCTTTGTTCCTGGGAAAGCTAGCCTACCTTTAAATAGATTACCTATATTAAACATTTTCAATGAACAAGAGCAAAATAAAGATAAATAATTTACAATTTTATTGAACAGTATATGACTTATATTAAAGATCATACTGAAAAAAAGAAAACTTATGGCATCAAAGAACTAGTATCACTCACATGGCATTTTTGCATAAAATTGATACAATGCCATAAGAAATTTTTTTTTAATGGTTTCTGGAAAAACAGCAAAAAAATGGGTAAACATTGTCATTTCTATAAAGTTATCTACTGATGATTTTGGTCATGTTGACCAAATATTTTGTCCTGCTGTTAATTTTTGCTGTTTACAGTTTCTCTTTATCTACTATAGTTTCCAAAAAAAAAGGGTTAAAGGTTACCAGAAATACAAAAAGGATATCAATCATCAATAAAAGTGCAATAACTTTTATTAGGTGTTGACTGCCAATTTCGGTTGTTTAACCTATATCTAGAGCTTGTTTTTGCTGATCATTTTTGCTAATACAGTTTCTCTAACTTCTAATCATGTCTATTGTCTTTTAAGAAAAATGCAAAAATGGGTAAAAGTTGTGATTTAAAGACAATAACTATGTATACTATAAGGGGTTGATTGACCATTTTGGCTATGATAACTTATTTGTAGGTCTTATTTTGCTGATCATTCTTGCCTTTAACAATTACTCTTAATTTCAGTTTTTGCCCAAAATGCAAAAAAAAGTACAATAGGTAGGTCTTGAAACAGTGTTTCAGCCTGGATGAAAAGACAAGACATTTGGACTCACTTGATAATGAGGGTATATGGAATAGGGACAGGAATTAAGCCTTGCAACCAGCCACCTACAGACACTCAGAGTTTTTTGCAAGGGTTCTTAACGTGCAGAGAGTGTGGACTCTCTCACTACATGAGACATCAAATCTAATGTCCCCATTCTGACTGGATGTGGAAGCAATTTATACATCCCACACAGCCAAACTGACACCCCACTTTGGCAAATGTTTTACTGCCAGTCTGAAGATTACCAAAAATTACTATATTTCTATTCCCCAGTCACCCTTGGGGGGCCAGACATTTAGTGTTCATTATAGATTCTGTATTTCTATTTCATTTCACATTTTTTCTTGTCAAATCCAACAAGTGCGTTACAGCTTTGGTTGTACAATCCTGAATACTGCATACATTTACATGGATACCATTTTTTATGGATTGATGAAAAATAGTCTTTTGTGGATATCTGATTTTGTGTTTTTAACAAAAACTGTGTACCAGCCTGAAGAAAATATGTACTTTGTGAACATTTAAATTTGGTTATCCTATACCTTCAAAATCTTTGAACATTGATATCCAACAGATGATGATGATTCCACAGTATCACCTGTATCACCTGTCCAATGAAATCTGACAACAATTAGGTCAAACCCTGTCTGCATCCAAGCAAAAATCATTAAAATTAAAAGGGAGGTTGTCTTTATGGAACTTGACAATGTGTATAATATTAGACTTATTGAAGCAAACCATAGCATTATTGAGATGTGCTTCAAATTGTTATAATTTTCCCATAGTAACATGATGGGTGTCAACAGTGGAACAGGAATTGTTCAGTTTTTGAGAAAACAGTTTATATTGTCTTGTATGTTTTTTTTAATTTTGGTTCATTTATATGTTTCGGAGTTTAGTGTGACATCCATTTTCTCTGAACTAGTACACATTTTGTTTGGGGGCCAGCTGAAGCCCCCCTCTGGGTGCAGGATTTTTTCACTGTGTTGAAGACCCATTGGTGGCCTTGGGCTGTTTTCTGTTCTTTGGTCGGGTTGTTGTCTCTTTGACACATTCCCTGTTTCCACTCTCAATTTTACCATAATATGTGCATGCCAGGCTATGGTTCCTTATGTTGATTCTACCATGAAGGTGCAAAAAATATTGGCTTACCGTTGACAATAGTTGCTAATAAATGTGATGCACTATGTAGGTTGTGTAGGTCTGTTATGGCTCCTGAATCAATACATACTGACAATTCAGTAAGAAAATTCCTAAAAGAGAAAAAAATGGATCAAAGACTCAAATTGCTGGGTTGTGGAGATTGTTTGTTCAACATTTGAGCATGGTCTATACTGAACATTTAGATATATGGAAATATAGCAAAAACTCTTACAACAATACAATTTATAAACTAAATCCTATAAGGAATATTCAGGCAAAGTTTGGCAACATTTTGTCCAGTAGTTTCAGAGGAGTTGATGTTAATACAAAAATAGAATCAACAATGACAGACCTTACGCTATAGCAATAGCTCACATGATCCTTTTAGGCCATTTTAAAACCAAAGATTCCGAAAAGTTGTGCTGAATACAGCTACGGTAATCTATACCTGAGGGTAGAAAAACTTAGTGTTATGAATAATTCAACATTTTATATACAAATCTCAAACTATCTTGTTCAAATTTTTCACAATAATACAAACAAGGCAAACATTTCAGAATTTACAGTATACACCTTATTGCTATTTAGTCCAATTCAGAAAAACGTCACTTAGACAACTTCCTGTTTGGGTCAGGTGTCGCTAAAACAAAGGTCATCAGTAACGAGATGAGGGAGGAAAAAGTTTAGAAAACAAATATTTTAAAACTTTGATAGATTATGATTCACTTTAAAAAAAAAAAAAATTATATAAATCATAAAAATGCTTTGTTTGAAGTGTTTACGATGGTTAAAAAATGTCTCTTTGAAAAGTTTTATGCAAAATACATTTTTTAAACAGGGCCCCAGACAGATTTGACTGGATGAAAAAGTTGTGTATTTCAGAACTTATTCAGATTGGAATAAATAGCGATAAGGTGTATTTGAATTAGCATCTGAAAACCACTTATCTGCACAAATTTCAGTCTTTTTATAGTATAAATAATAACCTTGACTTTTGACCTTGAAACTTAATGCACAATTGACGACAGTCTACTGGTTAAAAAAGCATGTGTAATGGGTAAGAAATATCAGCATGTCTGACTTGTGAAAAGTTCCTTTTTATAAAAAAATTATAAATAGAAAATTTTAATGTAGAAATCAAAATCATCAATAGCCTTTGCTGAAAAGTTCACAATAAAGTAAATTGTCTGTACTTAGTTAATATTTCTGCTGTCAGGTAAGTCACATGTTGATAAGTCAGCTAAACCCTTACAGAACTAAAATGTTTGCTGCTAACAAGAAGTTTGCAGGAAACCTGTAAATAATGCTTGCTGCAAATTCACAATAAGATTGCAGAATCTTTGATCATTCTAATGTTCACAAAAAAAAGCATTGCAAGATTAGATGTGAGGACACAGTTATCTACCAAATATAATTCCCATTTAATTTCAGTGTATTTTTTCTTATTTTTTTTTTTTTTAAAGAATTTTTCAAATATACAGTCTGAAAAAAATCTTTTTGAAAATTTCAGTAGAAACGCATGATTTGGTCAAGTTAATAAAGGTGTAATTTCCTCTTCTCAGAAGCTCTCTGGCTCGATCCATACCTACCTACCTACCTAAGTCTACCTAAGTGTTTCCAAACGCAGGAGATCAGCTTGCTCCTCTATATTTGGCTCTATTTCACTATCACTGTTGATTACTGTGCTACCTCCGATCGTGAAGTTGTAATCTACTGTGTAGCCATAAATCATACCAATGTCCTTATGTTTGAGGTTACCAGGAGAGAATGAGCTGATAGACTTTTCTGAATTTTTTATATGTTTTAAAATAAAAGTCCAACTTTATGCAAACCAAATCTAAGTAGAAAAACACAGGAGGATTTTTTTGTTGTTAAGATTTTGCAATTTGGTGCTTGAGTAATTTTGAATATGACCGAGAGAGGCATTTGTTGGTTCCTTAAGGGATATTCAATGTGTAGTTTTCATTATTTATAAGTACAAATTATTCATAGACTGTAGACTATAAATGAAAGTATTCATTTGTCTCCTCCCCAAATACCTTTAAGGTTTGAAAAAGAAACATGTTTGAAATACCCACTAATCTCTAATCGTTTCAGATTTTTTAAATTATAAGCCATGTTGAATTTTGTAAAGAAATTTACTTACTAGCTCACAAAATGCACTTCCAAAGCATCCCTCTTTTGTATTTTTAAATATTCAATCAAGTTTGAGCACTTCAACAAAAAAATTAATATATCTAAAAAGTAATTACTGAAACTAAGATAATTTTTCGAAAGATGATGTCTTTTTTAGAATTTGAATAGGTGATGTGAAGACAACATGGCATTGATACATTGTAATTTGTGTAATTCCTGCAAGTTTGCAGCAAACATACACAGGAAAGATTAATTTGCATGGTAACTTGTTTGTGGCAAACTTGCAGCAAATATAAATTCTATTTAAAGTCCTTCTTTGGCCTTTCTGCTATTTACCCAAATATCAGTAGGGTTATTCCCCTAAATCTTCCAATTATATAAGTTTCAATGTTTAAATTAAGGATATTGCATCTGGAAAGCATTTGCCCAAGACCATGACAGATGGACATAGCAACCACTATGTAATGATGTTCCCTAATTTTTTTTATAATCATAACTTATTCTCCAAAATATGAGTGATTCTAAAGACCCTTTATGAGTTTGAATATCACTTTGGTATCTACCACTTCTCTTATATGTATCACTAACCTGGCAATAAAGGACTTCCTGCAAACAATTTCACACAACCATGCTGACAAAAGAGGTAATGAAGTAAAACTGTCACAAAGCCCATCAAGATCAAGCTGAAAATAAGAAAAAAAGTGGCTTGATCATTCCAATTCTACTGGGCACACAAATTCAGTTTGGGTTAGCAAAAACATTTTCCTGAAGCAAATTTCATCAACTGGTTTTAATGGAAAGTACATATTGGGGAAAGGAGTAAGTTCGGTACGGGCCAAATTTGGCCCCGATTATTAAGATCAATGTTTCAGGATAAAACGTGTTTTAAGTTAATGAAAAGACATGTGAGAAAGTTATACAGAACTATTTTTGCCAGAGTTTTATTTTTAAGCATTGATTTTGACATCCCAAATAGGTTTAAAATAGAGATTTTTGGACAAAATTGTTCGGATTTCAACCAAATTAAGACCTAGGAAACATAGAGCGCAGGCGTCGACAAACAAAATATTCAAGTCAGATATGTAAAATGTCATAACAAACATTAGGTTTAAATATCTGTGTTGTCGATGCATGCGCTCTATGTTTCCTCTTAAAAAAATCAGTGTAAATTTACCATTTTCATGGAATTTTCGCAGGAAATCAAAATGAGTGCTATTTGTGACGTCATGAATAGAACGCAAAAACATAAATCTTCAACAAAGACGTTTTTCCAATCTAGTCATTATATTAGCTATGATTCCTTATGACATTGGTCAATAAATCCTAATTTCAAATATCAGATAGAATTAGGGGCCATCTTAGGGCCTTATCGAACCTACTCCTTTTGCACTGTAGATTCACCAAAAATAAAATGTTGTATGATACTATCATTGATCAAATTTTAAAAGCATTAGAAGAAAGGCTTTCAGAAAATTTTCATGTTAGCCAAGCCTTGACAACACAATTTGACAGACACTCTGTGGTAAAATTAATATAAATTCAAGCCCCCATGAATTATTTCTATTCAAATAGGATTGAAGTGCTGTGAATGAAGGCAAATAATCGCTGTTCCTGTAATTTAACACACTATTAATATTACCTGAAAGAAAACTGAATAATTGACATGCTTAAACAATTAACAATAACATAGTTAGACAAGTTTGCAGGAAGTTAAATGATTATCTTACATTAATTTAAGAAAAATGGCTTTCAACAAATTCCTTTAATCGTTTGTTCATGTTTCCATGTTTTGAAGACTTTCAGTTTCACAGTCCTGCACTTTCCCGTAGAATGCTTATATTCTTACGTCATTGTTCAATGACCTCGATTACACCAATTGACTTTGGATAACTCATTCATAAAAAAGCATACCATACGGCATTGGAATATGATTGGAATAGAACAAACAAATCATGACATTGTCAATCAGCTGACATACAATAATATTGGTATTATGCACAGACAGGAAACATAATGCCTCTTATATGATCATTGGGCTTAAAAATCGACCTGACAACAGAACAAACAGATTTAAATAGCTTCATTACTTACATTTCTACTAGCATTAGACATCTCAGCCAAGACAGCAGCTACCATTGTAGCACTGAGGTCTCTGATCACAGTAGATTCCAACACATTACTTTTATATACAGACATCAAAATTTCTGTTACTGGTCCTTTCACCAAGTTCAATACCTGTATGAGGGTAACAATCAGGATCAATAGAAGATAATATTAGAAGTAGATGCACTGGTTTATTCTACACAGTCATATATGTGTACAAGGTATTGATTTGATACTAGATATACCTAAAAACTATTAGAAAAACAGAACAAAACACAAAAATAACTTAAAATTGACCAATGAACCATGAAAATGAGGTCAAGTTCAGATGAAGACTGAAGTGTATAGGGGCAATAACTCCAAAATGGATTGTCCAAGATTTCTGAAAATTCCACAGATTGTTGTAACTGCTTTAGTTTTTATGATATTAGCAAAAACTACATTTTCTTCCTATGTTCTATTTTTAGCATTAGTTTCCTTGTTTGTTGATGGATCAAATCCCTGGATAATTTTTTTGAACTGGATACCATAAGGAACATTCTTGTAAAGTTTGGTAATTATTGTCCCAGCAGTTTCTGAGGAGAACTCTTTTTTTTAAAGTTTACTTAACGGACACTAAGTGATGGCAAAAGCTCACATGGCCAGATAAGCCTTAAATGTGTGACAAAAAATATTACATTCATTGAACATATTGAAAATTCAAAGGATTGGTAGAAAGGAAGAAGGTGTCACACAGATAAAAAAAACTTTGAAAAATTATAATGTCCTGTTAATGAGAAATACAGAAAAGATGTTATCACATGAATTTGCTTGCTAGTTGGGATAAAACGTGTATTTTTTGTATATATTAAATTATTTGTAGTTTCAAGGAACTTGTTTTGAGACAAAAAAAATTGTGAACCACCAACCCCCGTTCAATGACTGGCACCATGTAATCTTTAGATGACTGGAGCAAATAACAATGGTTAAAAAATAGAGTAGAGGAGATATAATGTATAATGAACTATTTAAGACACTTGGCCTTCAAGGTAGTTCTATCAGATATGAATTAAAAAAATACCTTTATTCCATGTTCTTTCTTCTTGCTTATGTGAACTGCCAAGGAAACAAATGTCTTGCCAAAAAAGTCAGATATCAGGTTACCATGGTGGCTGTTACTATTATTGTCAACAACATGGTGACTTAGCAAAATAAACTCAGTCACCTGATAAAAACAGGTTATTATCTGTGGCAGCAAGTTCAATGCAGAATCTGGAAAAAAACCATTCTTTATGATTAAAAGGAGATAAGGGATATAGACATCTTTAAAATCATACATAAAAGGATGACAGAATTTACAATTTGACAGTTAAACATATCAAATCTCCACCCAACCACCAATCTCCATGAGAAAACTGATGTACAAACACAAACAACAAGGAATAACACTGTCCAGGTTAACCCGACTTGGTACAGGCATAACATGTGGTGGGATTAAACAAATTATATGCACAAACAATCACCATCCCTTCTTTGCCTGTTTCATCATGTCATAAAAACAAATACTGTAAATTCAGAAATTATTCTTGCATTTATTTTTGTGATTTTTGAAGAATGGACAAAAATGCAAGATTATCAGGATAATCTGCTTACAGATATATGTATTAGATATCAGAATGTGATTTCTTATTATTGTGAAACTCGCCCAATCCCATTATTTTAAATAATATGAAAATAGCTTCTGCTGTTTTAGCTAATAGACTTATAAGAGTTTAACTGTTTATTATAAGTTTATCATAAGTTGGCATTGAAGACCTGTTGGTGGCCATCTGCTGTTGTCTGTTCTGTGGTCGGGTTGTTGTCTCTTTGACACATTCCCCATTTCCATTCTCAATTTTATTCATCACACAAAAATATTTCATCAAAGACAGATTTTTGGTGAGAACACACACCTTTTATATGATTTACTGCACTTTTTTGAGGAAAATAAAGGTTCTTTTATTATTTGTTGATTTTGAAAAGGCTTTTGATTTCTTAGAATAGTTGTTTTAAAAAAATCTTTAAAAAGTTTTAATTTTGGGTCATTAATATGCAAATGGTTTGAAACTTAATAATCAACAACAAGAAGTTGTGTTCTAAATAATAGACACATGTGTTGCAATATATATTTCTAATTTGGAAAGAGGTTGCAGAAAAGCTGACCCTCTTTCTCCCTATGTATTCATAACTGGTGTTGAATTACTATCTTTGAAATTAAAAAGTAATCCTGATATAAGGAGAATAACTAATCACTTTTAGAGCTATTTTCCTAATGCTTGTAGTTTAAAGGTTTGGTTGGCTTACTTGCTTTGTTTGTATAAATGTTTGCTCAAGCATTGTAATTAAGATTGACATCTGCTATCAATAGATAGGCGGGGCTTCATCTTGCATACATTATATTTAACATCCAATAACATTAAAGAATAATGTATACAAGCTGAAGCCCCTCCTATCTATTGATTGCAGATGTCAATCTTAATTACAATGCTTGAGCAAACATTTATACAAACAAAGCAAGCAAGCAAGCCAACCAAACCTTTTAACTACAAGCTTTAAGAAAATAGCTCTAAGCAAGTATTCAGATGACCTATTCCTTATGCTAGATGAAAGGTAAATATCTTTGAAGAAACAATTTCCTATTTTGAATCTTTTTATAAAATTTCAGGTTTTGAAAACATATGCTTCAAAAATAATAGCATTCTGGGTTAGAAGCCAACAGTATTCAGATCTTATTCTATGTTTTATTTTATCATGTTTATTTTTTCATAACATTTTTTGCAGTTGTATTGAACATTATCATTATACTTGACTTTCATACTAATGTATGCCATGTACTATATGTTTGCATTTTTTGTTTATGCTTTTTCTATGATGAGGGCCTCAGGGAAGATTCTTAAACAAGAGTTGGATGTTGTTATTGTTCTTAAAATAGAGTTGTTGTTGTGTTGTTGTTGTTGTTGTTGAAACTTCATTAACTTTTTGGGATTGAATTTTCTTTAGATTTGAACTGCATCACAGAAATTAATTTTGCCTCCTCTCTACAAGCAGTTGAGACAAAAACCATTGGGAGTAAATGACAACAACTGATTAGAATTTTTACTTTGGCTTGTTTGAACCAGTCATATTAACATGTGGCTGTATGAAAGTACTAAATCATTATACTGCATCTAGTATTTTGATCTGACAGCTGAATATCAAACAAATGATATAGATCAAAATACAGAGGAAAATCTCCTTGAAGTTGCATTTCAACATTGATATCACTAATGACATTATAACTTGAGGATCCAAGGAGCATTAAATTGTTCTCTTCTGTACACCAGATTTAATTACCTGTACATGAGATTTGTCTACATGAGTAAACTACATGTACAACCCATGTAAATGTTTATTACATAGAATTGAATAGAAAATTTCTCTGTTCAACTCTGGAAGCCTTTAGACTATTCATCCTTGGTTGGTTGGGTTGGTTGGGTGGGTTTGGTGATGTTTTATATGTAATATATTTTTGTTATTTGAAAAAATGTTTAAAAAACCTTATAAAAATTTGTTTCAATTGAAAATAAGGGGTTAAAATAAATTCTACATTGTGTTTCCAAAAAAGTCCTTGTTCCTGTATGTTACTGAAAAAATGTTTTTGTTTTTGCTTATGGGCATACAATACAGTTACAGGGGAGGTAATTACGTTGCTAACGTTAAATGTTAATTTTCGCGACGTCTAACAGTGAAATATCGGGGAAAGATGCATTTTCCAACAGATTTTAATCATTAGCTTTAAGACGAGAACATCGACCCTTCTTTTTTAAAATGACATTTGGCTTGATTATGTATGACAATTATTTGAAGCAATTTTTATGAAGAAATCACTGATGATTTTTTTTAAATTGGATAAATATACAGCAAAAAATGCTCTTTTTTTTCTTAAATCCTGAAATTTTTTAAAAAATAATTTCAAAAGAATTGTTACACAAACTTATGGTATACTTATGTTAAGACAATATTCTAAATGTTTTTACAAAAATCCGTTTGTGATTATCTTTTGAAACAAAAAAGTTAGGTATGTCTGTTCAAAGGATAGAAATGTCCAAGAAACCGAAATTTTGAGCAAATGTCTAAAATTTTGACCCCACTTATCTCTAAAAGTAGCACAGGTATATTTTTTATTACATATTTGAATTGACTGGGTTAAAAAATAGCTTGTTTGCAAATTTTCGTCAAAAATTCACCATGGGATCAAAACTGTATATAGTATGCCCTTAAAGTCGAAATATTGGTTTGCCTCCCCCCCGAAAAAAAAACAATCAATCAAATAACCATAAATTCATTAATGTCAGAGTTTCTGGATGAGTCTACTCAATTCAGGAAGCTTATGATATGTATGATGATTGCATTTTCAGTCTGCCACCTGTGAAGTGATCTATAATCATTTACATGTACTAACATTTTCAAAGTACTTCTAAAAAGGAAATCAAATTTTTCCATGGAATTACAGTAAAAGATCATACATCACTTGAAACTTACTTAGGGCTGTTCCATAAAAACATACATGGGACCCAGAGAAGGCAACTTAAATTTTCAACTATGGGTGGGTATGAAATATTGTGCTGTATGGGTTTAAATGTATGCAGGATTTTCTATGGGTGGTCACTCTGTTTGCAAAGTGCCTTCCCTGGGTACAATGTGTGTTTTAATGGAACAGCCCTTAAAGAGTTTCACCAATTAACAAATATCAAATGTTTTATTTTTTTGTGAATGTCAATGTTAAGCTTTAGAAAATATTGTTTACTTACCTGCTTGTAAGCAATCTGAACAAAAATTGGTAACTTGAACTGAAAAATCTTCATCAGCTATCCCAATCAGAAACATGTTACTGCAAACACTTAATAAACCCTGAAATAAAAAATGTTTATTACTGTCATTGCCAAATATATGTACAAGGCAATAAGATAATTTAGAGAGAGATTAACACATGGATCAGATGTGGATTGAGGGAGGGGGTGGACTTCCACCATCTTTTGGAACTACATATATGGTTAGTGCAAAGTCTTTTTACAAGTCCCACTCATTATATTGCCTTGATGCCCCCTTCAAAGTCCTGGATCTGCAACTGTGGATGTTAACAACAATATGGGTGTTTGCAATATCAGTAACTAGTAAGTAATGGGGGGCTATCATATTGGATCTTTGCTCACTTCAGAAAAGCAGAAACCATGGAGGCATTGATTTCAAACCCCAGACATGGCAGGTGCGTTCCGACTCAAGTCATAATTGACTAGGATTGTCAGTTTTCCTGCCAAAGGTCAGTGGTTCTCTCCCCTTCCTTCTCCAATAAAAACTGATTGCCAGGATAAAGCTGTGGTAGAGTGGAATTTGATATATATTTCTAATTGTAAATTTGTATGTATCGATTAAATTTATTGGAATAAAATGATTTTCATACTATTGATATTATTAGCTACAAATTGAATGGTATTTAATTTGTCCAGCCTGGATACTGTTATACTGACCAGTTTACCAGTTTTTCTATGTTGCCGTGATTTCTATATTTAGAATCTTAATTCTTTAAGGCTATATTTCTTTATGGATAGTGATTTTGGTCACAGGTTCTTTTTGGGGGGATATTTCTATTGTTTAAGCACTCTCATTTCAATTTACTCACTGAGCAGTCATATTTTTAGATTCTGGATGGATTGTTAAATTGCTTTGATATATATTGCTGTAGTTACTCTTGAATCTTTGGGAATCATTATTATTACTTAACAGGTCAGTTGTATATACCTTCTCACATTATTTTAATAAGTCTTAGAGTTTTTAACAGAGTATGCAAGATTTGCTAAGATTGATTGATTGAATGGAGAAATGAATCTGAAGTGTGAATCAGATCTTTATGAATGATAAATACAATTAATTAACCATAAAATGCTTTAAAGTCATTAAAGTTTGATAAATAATTAAAACATTAAATAATCTTAAAGCAATAGATTATAATGGAGTGAAATGATATAAAACAGAAAGAAAAGTTTTCTTGTGTATAAATAAGTATAAATTAAATAGTTATATAGTCATTTCAAAACCTTTATTAATTCTACCATCTAAGGAAACAACTTTTTGTAGGTTTATTATGTGTTCATATTATGAAGTCATATTTTAAACACTGAATACATAAGTTATAAATTCACATTTATCTTCAGGTTTATATTTGATGATGTACCCATATGATGTGATTGAGGTACATATAAGCATATAGTCTTGTGAACTTCAAATTAACACTTGAGGTAAGAAAGAGTTGTATTATGTAGCTTTATGGTTAAGTTAGTAATTTGCTTATTTTTGCTTATTAGAATTTGCTTAGTTGCTGCATGTAGATATTTTTAATGCTTTAATGTTTTGCTTCATTTACTTACAGTTAAGAATTCATGTTGAAGTATATTTTTATATGGGAACAGAATATTTAGCACAATTAAGTTTATGAGATGCACAAACTAATACATGTAAGACACAAGTTTAAGTTGAGTCTTTTAGACAGAAAATATAGATGTAAATGAGAATGACATTATTTTTCTTAGAATGTTATACAGTGCAAATTTACTTGTTCATGGACATGTCAGAGTTATCTTTCTTTGCACTAGTATTTATAGTATTTTATGATGGTATTTTGTAGGGGCTTTATATGAGACTACATTGTTATGTTGATGCCATCTTAGACCTTTAAAGAACCTACATATCTTTCCATCCAAGTGTTTGTTATACTCATGCCTATTTTCACCTGATTTCATAGCCAATAGGACTGAAAGTGGTGTTTAACAACAACTATCAACATATGCATGCAGATATATGTACTTTGTCAGTCTTGTATTATTTTTAATTTTAGTTTCTTGTGTACAATTTGGAGTTTAGTATGGCGTTCATTATCACTGAACTAGTATATATATTTGTTTAGGGGCCAGCTGAAGGACGCCTCCGGGTGCGGGAATTTCTCGCTGCATTGAAAACCTGTTGGTGACCTTCTGCTGTTGTCTGTTCTATGGTCAGGTTGTTGTCTCTTTGACACATTCCCCATTTCCATTCTCAATTTTAGATAGTAAAATGCGAGTTCTTATTATTGCTTTACTCACTCTGTCGCATTATTCACAATAATAAAAATCTTGCAATAATTTTTGAATTTACAGTACTTGAAGAGAGGTCATGGTCATGGTCAGGTAACTCCCGTCAGAAGGGCATGTAAACCATACACCCAAATTATAACCTTTAGTTGATATATTTATCATATTACCGGTAAATAAGAAACTTACTTAAGTGTGTAAACTAAATATTGATCATTTAACCCTGAAAAGGTCAATGTAAGAGGAATTCTGTAAGACAGACATGTACACCCTAGAACCATTCTATGGGTCATAGTTCAAGAATTTGACTAAGTTCAATAAATTGTTAACATAGAGATATGTCATGTCTTATCAATCATATGGCTCAATGAAAACATTTTATGAATTGAACATATGTACCAAGTTTCAAATTGATGTTACCACAACTTCTTAGTAAACAACCTTAACAAAAAACTTTTAACTTGAGAATGTACTGGTTTCACATTATCACATAAACTGAATAATTGGTGTCAAAACTAAACTGGCATATAATTTTAAAAGTTTATAGGATATTGGTTATGAACATGAGTAAATGTACTATTAAGTTTCCTCTCAACTTCCTGGTAAATATCTTACCCCAAAAATGTTGAACCTGTTACAGGACATATGGAAGAAATATTGGACTGACCATAGTTGCCAACTCACATGATATTCGTGTGTAATACACGCTTTTTCAACAGTTTACACACAAAGATTTTGTCACATTGGGTGTACACGCTTTTTCGTTATTTTGAATTTTTGGTCGTTAGTGATATCACGATTCTCAGGTTTTTTTCATAATTAGACGAAAAGTACCAAAAATTTTGTAGTATTAGTTGGGTCGCCATTGTTTATTTTTCGATATGGACGAACAACAAAAGCCCTTCAGGTAAGTTTGTGAGTAGTTTTTAAGAATTTGTCTCTGTTGAGTTTTTCTTTCTGTAAATTATCAAGAAAATAATAATATTCCTGGTGGAAATCTGCATACACATGAACTTACTACAGGTTTACTAGTAATGACATAATAAATCAAATCAAATATGTTTATTTTCCTAATCAAAGGGCCATAAAGGGAGAACTATTTGATAAAGCATTCATTCAATGGTATATATTATAAAAATTATAAAATTATTTTTCTTTTTCAGTTTCAAATCTAGCCAACAGATTTCCACAGGCAATAGGGGATGGGAATATCACAGAACTGTTGGATCAGTTCGCAGAGTACCAGCTGTCTTCTCCTGATGAACTACCCACCTTTGAACAGGAAATAGCAACATTCTGGGGAGCAATGGCAGATATAGATGAAATTTTAATGACAAACTAGATCTGGACAATGCCCCCCCCCCCCCTTTTCTGCTCTGCCATATGCATGAGTATAGTTCCACATATTTTAGATTTGACAAACAGTGATGTTGGCATACAACTTGAAATAGTTACGCTGTCTGTAAGACACAAATGATGCCCCTGCCTGACCAAAAAAATGACTTAAGTCCAACTACCTGTCATTTTCAAAATATTTGAAAAAAAAAAATCAAAATCCTTTGGCCATGCACACCTCCAGTATGTGTTTGAACATCCTACAAAATATTAAAGCTGTATCTTCAAAACTGTAGGAGGAGATAGCCGGACAAACCATGATCTCTTTATGCAGCTAGTACCAAAAAAATGACTAAGTCCAACTACCTTTCATTTTCAGAATATTTGAAAAAAATCAAAATCCTCTAACCATGTACACCTTCACTATGTGTATGAACATCCTACAAAATATTAAAGTTATACCTCCAAAACAGTAGGAGATAGCCGGACAAACAATGTATCGTATGAACGGACGGACAGGGGTGTACATGTTATCTGGATGTGGATATGTAGATATAGAAAAATATCAGCCCGCGAGCTAGAATATGAAGCTAAATGTCGAGTGAGCGTAGTGAACGAGCCATTTAGCTTCATATTCTGTTGAGGGGGCTGATATTTTACATTATCGCTATTTTACGAAAATTTCCTTTGATCTTACTGACTGATAATTTCCTTTCTCAGCGGAGTCGAGTGATATGAAAATTATCGCTAGAAACTAAGGGGGCACGTGCCGTTGCTAATGAAATTGACAACGTCGTCATAGGTAAAATAGCGATAAACAGATTATCATTGGTCATCTCAACTCGATTGCTTTTCTCCCTTTCGCCGTACCGGCTCAAGCTAGAAAATCAATAATATACGATTAACGATAATCTATAAATATCTATACAATCCACATTCAGATAACATTTTTATCATCTTTCAAAGCAATGTTTTTTATCAAAATTTCCTTTTTCAATAATTTCGCGGGAATTGTTATTACCAGAGTGTTTCTGTTATTACTAGGCAACACATGTCATCAAAATATTAAACCGCGGATACACCTTGTGGCCAAAATACGCAGGGTAAAATATTCCAATTAACTAGAGGAAGAAAAATGTTTCGTGTTCATGATAATGCATATATGAGAGTATAATATTTGAAGAGGATACAAAAAAAAAAAGAAATATTAAAGATTATATTGAAAGATCGTAGTATTTCATATCAGCAGAAGAAGAAAATTTCTACTCGCTGACTGCTGAACAGCATACGCTTCATAAAAAAATTCCAGAAACGCATCAAAATGCTGTTTGTTTTCAAGACTAAAGGTACACATATATTTAAGTAGTCATAATTCGTAAAGGAGAAGTTAATTTGAGAAAGACAGATGTTGGTAAATTGTCCTTCTTGTATGTAAATAGTTATATCTCGACA